CCGCAGACATTTCCTAACCGTACGATGATACACCCAAGGGGAAGTGTTTTGTAGGTGGTAAGAAGAGAGAGGACCTTGGAAACGATGTTGGTTTGTACTTAGAACTTAGTCTCTCTTCAACCAAAAAACCTCCAAAACATGACGGACTTCGGTGAGGGTCATACCTGTTTAGAATATGGAAAAAGTTACAACAAAAAAATGAGGCTTGAGAAGCAAAAGAAAACTGTGACTTGAAAGGGTAGTTCATTTGACACGTGCTGTTACACTGTTCCTCCGGTACGTTTTGGTTCGTCACTATGGCATTGAACCCAGGTTCGAGTGATTGTTATATGTTGAGAACTTTACCAAAGAAATATCTACTTTCGAGGATTTGAAGGTCTTTCAATACAACTCGATTTTTTCCTTTAATTTTTGTTTAAAGATGAATTCAGCTTCAGTGTGTATTTTGGTTATGACTGAATAGTGCATTTATATGCTCATGTAATAGCCGAAAACTTACATGTGTTACACGATCTTACATATTTGTTTCACACCAAAGCGCCAACCCCCTGAACTGTGGGAGATACGGTGCAGTGCTGTCTTCTCCAGAAATACAGAGTGATTTTTACGGGAAGGCAATCAAAGGCAATTTCTCTTCACTCCAACTTTTCCACTTTTTGGGTAGAATCTCATTTTATGGGTGCATGCTGGTGCTATCAATTCAGTTGAAAGTCTAAACTTAAGATTTTTATGAGGGTAGATGGATACTGGGCAATTTTTTTTTATGAAGAGTATGAAGAGTACAAGCACATTCTTTTTTCAAATTTACAGGCATCAAACTATTATACGAACAATATATGATCGCTAAGAAAACACTAACAACGACAGGCTCATATTCAGATAACGAACATTTGCGTACACGGAAATGTACTTGGTGAGCTTTCTCGCGCGAAATTCCCAAATCCGAACACGACTTTCGTAAAAATTCACCTTACCCAGGCACCTATAATCGTTTTTAACTGGAAGGCTATGCAACTAGGGGTTTTCATTCACCTTTCGATAGCAAAACCACCGTGATTACCCAGGTCGATCGAACCTTTCTACGAGTTGGCCTAAGAGAAAACCGCAGTTAGTAAGTCGTGTCCAATATCTCCTCGGACCCAACCACTTGCCCTGAGGGCCTGGGGAAAAGGTGTATTGTTGAAGTTCTTGAGAGATAAAAGTTTAAAATAAGTAGTTTAAAGAAATAAATCGCTCAGTGTTTATATTACACCGTAGGATAATGGTTGCCGTGTTGGTTTCACAAGAAAAACGAGGCAATTGGAGGCAGAAAGCGTCTCTAAATGTGAGAACTTCACTTCGTTCATTAGTTCCCTCCCCCAGACACACCTCTAGATGGTCAACCAACCACGAGGCTTCTCTCCTGTGCAGCTGCCATTGTCGCCAAGCTTTTGTAAACACACTGTTGGATTGTATGACCACCTGTCGAGGCACATCCTTTCAAACATTTGTTATGAATTAATTTCTGTTTTAGCTTTGTTTTAGCAAGACTTATTTGTGCACTACTAATTACTACATGCTCTATTTTCCTACTCTAAAAATACTTTCTCTCTTTCAGCCAAAAGAATCGTAAATGTATAACATCGTGAGAGTGGCGAAAACTTCACATGTAAAAACGCGTGAAATGTAAATATAATTTCTTTACAAGAGCACAACAAAAGAAACAGAAGCTTTTAGAGTGATCTCTGGGATTTCTATGCGGGACTTGTTCACACACAGTCCTCGTGAGGGTGTCACGCATTTCTTCTAGGCAGTGTTTCGAGACGTAGGGCTAACGCACGAAACGTCAGCTTTGAAACTCTTTACGGTGGCCACCACAGTTTCTCTAGAATATTACACCCTTCATTCATTTGTACCTTACCCAACTTATCATTTTGTGTTTACACAAAATGTAAATGTACATTGTGATTGCTCACACAATCACAATGAGTCATTAGTCTATAGTAAGCACATAAAAAAAGTTTAATGAGAGCAACTTCAAAGCTGTTGAAAACAAGTAACAAAGGAACTCATGGCAAAATATTACTCCTCGTGAGGGTGTCACGCATTTCTTATAGGCAGTGTTTCGAGACGTAGGGCTAACGCACGAAACGTCAGCTTTGAAACTCTTTACGGTGACCACCACAGTTTCTCTAGAATATTGCACCCTTCATTCATTTGTACCTTACCCAACTTATCATTTTGTGTTTAGCTCACACAATCACGATGAGTCATTAGTCGATCGTAAGCACATAAAAAAAGTTTCATGAGAGCAACTTCAAAGCTGTTGAAAACAAGTAACAAAGGAACTCATGGCAAAATATTACTTCTATCCAATTTTTTCTTTAATTAAAGAGACTTCTTCACGTGGATCTTTTAAAAATTAAATGGAGAACTGCCATTCTAGCCTATCTGAAAGGTCCAAGCAGGTTACAGAGACTAAAACATGTTTCTGTCCCAATTATTTTTCTCTTTAAAGAGTGATGTGATAACATATTTGTTTGAAATTACGCCAAATGTTAACCGCGAAGTGCTAAAGGTGCTGGCTAAGAATTCAGCAAAAAATTTTTATAAAAACAAATGTAAGAATTAACAATAGGCAAAATTGCCAGGTGCCAAGCGCATTGAGATTACAAGTCTTTGGCTGGATCAGAGTCAAAAACAAATTGCGCAACGAGTCTAACTAATATCCTTAGCATCACAATTTTGGTTAAGGAAACGTCTTGATCTACCTATCCGCTTAAACATGCACCTACTAATGTTATTCTTGATCAGTGTCACTGCTTATGCAGCAAGTCGCATTTCAAACAGGTTTCCCAGATTTCAAGCCGCTAATTTTGGCGAGAGGATGGACGGGAAACAGCTCAACGGGAGCGTGATAAAGGAGATAGAGGTTGAATCAGAAAGCTCTTGTAGACTGGAGTGTGTCAACGAAGAGCGATGTAAGTCTTACAACTTTGGAAGCACAAAGAAGAAATCTGCGAAATGGAAGTGCCAGATCAGTGACTCAGATCGATTTGAGAGACCAGCTAGGGCCAACTTCATCGAGAACAAAGAGTTCGGTTACAGAGGGATAAAGGTATTTGGAATGCATTTCAAAAGATTTTGGCTACCACCTAGATACACGAATAAGTTCCAGAAAATGAGAATTAATGGTAAAAAAAATAATAATGTGATAAAATTGCAGAATTGCACTTAAGGAGGCTCTGTGGGGTTTATTGCTCAATGTTGGAGCGCACGCCATCGTATTGTTTTGCTTTACAAGGTCACTAAAAGCCATCGAAAGCCGATGAGCAAGGTTCGGATAATCGTTTTCTGTAGTAAATCATTTTGCGTACACAGAAATATACGTGGTGAGCTTTCTCGCGCGAAATTCCCAAATCCGAACACGACGTTCGTAAAAATTCACCTTACCTAGACACCTACAAAATGATTTTCCTTATGAAGCTAAGGCTCCACGAAGAGAGGTGCTCGCCAGTAACATTCTGCTTGGCAATTTGCTTCGGTGAAATCTCTCAAAATGTTCACAAATTTTCCTGCCGATCATTAAAAAGTCGGGAAAAAAGGGATTACAAAGGCAGTTTCCTCGCTATTTGGTCCTATGAATTGTTTTTATCAACAGGCACTAGGGAGGGCACAAATATGTTTAATGGTTTCACAAATTTTAGGAAAATCCATCTGAGGAGACGCGATAAATCTTGCTCAAAAGATCCCTATTTTTTATCTGCTGTTATTGTTGTTTACAAACAGAGCTTATGCGAACGAGATAAGTCAAACTGTGGCAAGAACGAAATCTGCATCGTAGACATTCGAACCAACAGTGCACGATGCATTTGTAAGGATGGTTACACAGGAAAGCCCTGTGGTAAGTGGAAATAATAATGACAATAATGTTGCAAAGAAAAAAAGCAAAGAAAACCGGCACAATAGTGCTTTCATTGCTTGAATTTATAAATTTCACACCTCGAGCACTAACTGTACACAACTTCTGTATTTTTTGATCAACTCCTCCTCTCAATAAATTTTCTTTGTGGTTGTAGTTGTTTTTGTTGATGGTGTTTTAGGAACGTAATGATCATTCATCATCTAGAGAAACACTACCCCCCGTGACTAGCTGAAAACAAATGACTTCTACTATAGTCCAAGCGTACCATTCAAATCAAATTTTTCGTCAACCAACAGAGCCCATCCCTAAAAGTTGTGCTCTACTTTATCAAGATGGTGTCACATCAAGCGGTGTGTACACTATCAATCCAGATGGCGGAAATCCCGTACAAGTGTTGTGTGACATGACCACGAACGGTGGAGGTTGGACTGTTTTTCAGAGACGTTTGAACGGCTCTATTGATTTCTATCGAGATTGGTCGTCCTACAAAAATGGCTTCGGAGATTTGAAGGGCGAGTTCTGGCTTGGAAATGATAATCTTCATCGTTTAACAGCCGCTGGTAACGTTTCGTTGAGAGTTGATCTGGAGGACTTCGAAGGTAACATCACATACGCTGAGTACGTGACATTTAAGGTGGCGGACCAGATAGATAAATACCGAATTCTAATTGGTGGATACAGTGGGACAGCTGGCGACGGTATGAATAAACAAAGGTATGATAAACAGTAGTTTAGAATTGAGGTTGTTGAAAGTAAAATGTCCGATAAGTTGCAAGCAAACATTATTATACCTATTCGTTTCGAGACTTGTACGAGTAAAGAGATGGAATCCAAGATTTGCAAACCGTATTTTATGGTGTTAACTTTTTGTAGTGACATGCAGTTCTCCACAAGAGATAGTGACAACGACATAAATCCGGACGGCAGCTGTGCTCAGCAGTTCAAAGGCGCCTGGTGGTACAGTTACTGTCATCATTCCAATCTAAACGGGTTGTATCTCAATGGAATTCACTCCTCAATGGCTGATGGCGTCAACTGGATTCCTTTTAAAGGATATTACTACTCACTGAAACGTACAGAAATGAAAGTAAAGTAGATCAATGTTGTTGTTTCTTTTCTTTTTTCTTTCCATTTCTCACGGAGAGACTAGTTAGGTTCAGACCACGGCCGCAACACACTCTAGTTATCGATCCTTTTCTTCCCAGTCTCCCGTCGCATTTATTATTTACGTATATAACGAAGTTACTCATTGGTTTATTAAATTAAACGGGTTTTTGAGCCCTGTACAGTGGTTTACGTAATTTTAGGGCCATTTTCAAATCATCCGGTGGAGGTGTGAACTGTAATGTGATTATTCGGAACAGTAGCGGCACTGCTCCAGTTCAGGGCAGAACTAAAACCATTAGTGAAACTGGGCCACCTCATGCGATGCTTAAGGGGATAATTTATGATTGTAATGGCCATCATTTTTAAGCTGCTGGTAACAGGAACAATGATAATCACAGGAGCTGACATATCGGTTACATATTGCATGGTCAAGATAAAGGAGCAAACTCAGCAAAAGTAACATGGGAAAGGATATTTAATATTTGAAAAACTTTTAAAACATTTATTAAACTTAGAATAACGCAGCTTTCTTCTCGTAGAATATGTTTGTGAAATTATCATGATTTCATTATTTTCAACGTATACTTCTGCTCAATTCTTGTTTTTTTTATTTGCTACTTTTTGAGTATTCATCTGTCTACATATAAATGATTAAGTTGTCTTTGTTGATCCTGGCGCAAAGTAACATTTGTTGGGAAAGGAAGCCTAATGTAAAGGGTTTTAATGCATATGCCGTCAATTGTATTTAAGAAAACCATGACTTCATCTCCAGTTTCTGGTCTTAATATAGCCGTTTACTCCTATTACGGGTTTAATTCCTTAGTTGTTGAATAATCTTTTTTATAACAGTCTAGAGCACCTTAACCACAGTCACGTGGCTGTAGCATTATATCATATCATAAAGATTAGTTCATATTATGCAGTTCTGTATAATAAAGCAGTTATGTAAAGCACTTGTCTACTGCTTGCTCTTTATTGTGGTCGTCCAAGTCCGAACGCACAGCACCTCATAATTACTGTGCGTAATAACTGCGAGCAGACATGTATCCTGACTTTAAAAAATCGAGAAATTATTGACATAAATGGTGTGTTCTGCATCAGAAGTTTGCCGCGGGAATGTCAAGTATATTTGCGAAATTGTCAGGAGTGGTACCATGCATCAAGCCCAGGCTGAGTTATTTGATAACAAGTCACATTAACTTAAATAACTAAAAACGGTTACCCCTCACCCCTCTCACCCTGCTAGAGAGAGGTTATGTCATAATCTCCTGCCTAGATCCTACCTGAAATAGTCGTGGAAGGTCAGGAGAGTAGATTAGATGTGTCAAGCTAACTGTCAAGCTAAATATTCTGAATAAAGAGAGTAAGTTTCTAAAGAAACTGTTTTTCTGCGTCGATGGAAAAGTAGAACAGGGTAATGAAGCATTATCAACTGAGTTGATGACATAAATTGGCCACCGTAAATAGTTTAGAAGCTGACGTTTCCAGCCTTAGCCTTCCGTCAGAGCGATTCGTCAGACCCTGGTCGATCGAACCTTTCGGTGTGTTGACCTGAGAAAAAACCGCAGTCAGTGAGTCGTGTCCAATATCTCCTCAGATGAAATACTTGCCCTGATGGCTTGGGGATTCTCGATTGCCAAATTACGCGATGGCCGTCAATGCTTGTGAGCTTTTATCGAATTGATTCGGAAACGGAATTGGAGCGTCACAGAAGCCGCATTCCTTTTTATAATGTAAACACCGTACTGGCGCTGAAAAAGTACCTTATTTCGTTCCTTGGTTCAAAGGAGTTGTCCAGTAAATATGGCCTCCGAGATCTTGATGTGAAATTTTATCACATGGCTCCGAAATCAGGAGGGAAGAGCGTCAATTTTGCCCTAACTACGGACGAACAGAGGAATCTCGAGCTTCCGACCATGCTGGCTGGAGCAGGAAGCGAATTAAATAGTATGTATCGGAATGGTTTGGTATTTGGTAGTGATATAAATATATCAGTTAAAAGCCTACTCTGTTGTATAGAACGCGTATAGATACCGATTTATAAGCATTAGAGCATATAGAAAACACACGTCTCTTCAAGATGCCGTCGACAAAGCACGGTATGTAAACGACAACATCACAAAGACCGTTTCTGAGGTGAAACAACGGCGCAGTATAAAGGAAACCACAGCAACCAATGGCCCTAAAGAAACTGTGTCTAATAAAACTCAAGGCTCACTTAAACGTCTCGAAGAAGGAATGCGCCGCGTGCACAACAGCATAGCTTCAATTAACAACGATTATGTCAAAGAAATTGAATTATGCACATTACTCACAACATTTGTGGAGAATCTACACGCAGTTTCCCATTTTAAACATGAGACCTTCACCGCATGCAGTATTCCCAAGACTTTGGAATAATTACTCAAAAGTTTTCATGCAACTTCCAAAAATTAATTTGGTTGTTTTTGGTGGACAAATTCTCCGAGCTTGTGCATACCACAATATCGCTCGGTTGTCAACACTTGGAGATTCTGCGCTTCTGATCAAACTGCCGGAGAACTTATCCAATAAAAAAAAATAATTAATCTTTGGAATCGCTTTACATTTCTTAACAAACATCTGATTCTTTTATGAAGTTTGTAGCATTTTGGTGAATATTTCTAACTGCCGGGCATTTAGTTCATTTGATACCGTGCCCGGCAGTCCGATCAGAAGCGTAGAATTTCCAAATTGTCGACAACCGAGCGATATTATAGTATGCACAGGCTCGGAGAATTTGTCCCCTAAAAAACCAAATAAATTTTTGTAATCGCTTGATATTCCTTCACAAACATTTGACATTCTTAAGAAGTTTGAAAGAACCTTTCGGCGGAAATTGCGTGAAAACCTTTGACTGCCGGACATTTAGTCTATTTGAGACTATGCCTGGCTGCTGGACATTTAGTAGTTTAAAGAAAGAAATCGCACACTGTTTATATTACGTAGTAGGATAGTGGTTGCCGTGTTGGTTTCACAAGAAAAACGAAGCGAAAGTGTCCCTAAATATGAGAAACTCGCTTCGTTCCTTCGCCCCCTCCCCCAGACACACCTCTAGATGGTCAACCAACCACGAGACTGTCATTGTCGCTAAGCTTTTGTAAACACGCTGTTGGAATGTCTGACCGCCTGTTGAGGTACATCTTTTCAAACATTTGTTATGAATTAATTTCTGTTTTTTAGCTTTGTTTTAGCAAGACTTATTTATGTACTACTAATTACTACATACTCTATTTTCCTACTCTAAAAATACTTTCTCTTTGAGCCAAAAGAATCGTAAATGTATAACATCGTGAGAGAGGCGAAAACTTCACATGTAAAAACGCGTGAAATAAAAATGTAACTTCTTTACAAGACCACAACGCAAGAAACAGAAGCTTTTACAGTGATCACTAGGACTATGCAGGACTTGATCACAAGCAGTGTTTCGTGACGAAGGGCTAACACACGAAACGTCAGCTTTGAAACTCTTTACGGTAGCCACCACAGTTTCTCTAGAATATTACCCCCTTCGTTCATTTGTACCTTACCCTACTTATCATTTTGTGTTCAGCTCACACCATCACAACGAAAGCCTCTCAGTTAGTTTATCGCAAGCACATAAAAAAAAAAGTTTAATGAGAGCAACTTCAAAGCTATTGAAAATAAGTAACAAAGGAACTGCAGGTAATTTAGTGTTAACAACTAAGTTGAAAACGTAAATTGGCCACCGTAAGGAGTAAAAAAGCTCACGTTTCGAGCGTTATCCCTTCGTCAGATCGATTAGTCAGCACTCTTCGCTAATCGCTCTGACTAAGGGCTAACGCTCGAAACTTTAGCTTTTTTCCTCCTTACGGTGGCCAATTTTGGTTTTCAACTGATATTTAACACTTAATTACCTGCTATACTCTCCCACCGACGCAGCACCACAGTTTCTTTAGAAAATACCCCTTTTAATAAAGGAGCTGTTGGCAAAATATCCCTTTTATCCTATTTCTTTTCAAATTAAAGGGATCTCTTCAGACGGATCTTTTAAATATTAAATAGAGACCTTCCATTCTAGCTTATCTGAAAGGTTCAAGCAGGTTACAAAGACCAAAATATTTCTATCCCAATTGTTTTTCTCTTCAAAGTAGACGTTATTTCATAACATGGTTGTTTAAAATTACGCCAAATGTTAACCACATAACTGGCAAATAACTGGCATCAAAGATGATCAATTTTTTGAGAGTTAACCAACATCATTTGACAATGAACACTTCTACAGATGTTAAAATTGACATAAAATGCAAACACATTGATATCAATTATCTACTGAAGCTCCACAGGGTGTAGAATGAATAAAAGAAGACTGGACACATATTTACAGCGCTACTGTTTTATGAGAGCATAAGTGAGCCTGTCTAAGATAAGCCAGTCTGTTTCATTAGTGCACCACGTGCCTGTCTTTCAAAAAGTAACTACAGGCATAACGCCTTAAAGCTGGGTTTCCAAGAGAATCACAACTAAGGAATGAATAAGCCTTAATGGAGGAGCTGACTGCCTATTATAGTAAAAGCTCAAAGAATTCTTGGTCACCAAAGACAACATATGGTCATGTGGTTGCTAACTCGTTAAAAATGAATATGCAAAATTCCATTCAGTTTATTTGCTTTCCATAACTTGAAAGTAATAAACTTACCAATAGGAATTGTCTTGCCATGAATTTTTTCTGCCCACCCAGCATAGTATCGATAGCACTTAATTGTCATGGAAAAACCAATATTGAAAGAATCATTGAATGGCTTGCCATTGTCCAAAGTCTCTAGACTCTCGGAGAGAAGAACCACATTTTGTCTTATTTAGTACTTTATGACTGAATTGACAAAATGTACAAGGTTTTACAATCTGAGAACAACCAATGTTGTGACTACGTTTTTCTTTTTACAGTCAGAGTTTGAACACCCACAGAATGATTTAATGTATATGTTCTAATACAACAAAATGAGGCTG